TCGCGCGCCAGGCTGAGCCCGGCAGGACAGGACTCCGTTCCTGTCCCTTACACGGGACCTGCTGCGTGCACGCAAGCACAGGTCGAGCTCCAAGACCTGGGCTTTTTCCAACCGAGAGCCGGAAAGGATGTCTAAGCCACTTCTGAGCAGCACCTGGAGTTCCTCGGTGGCATGAGATCTGCACTGATTTTGCCTCAGCAGAAATTTATGAGACCAAGACACTGTCCTGTAACTGCATTTGCAGCAGGGGTATCAAACTCATCTGGACCCAAGGGCCAGATTGATGGCAGAAGGCCAGCACCATAGGCTCACAGATTTCCACCCCTCCCCGGGGCCAGATCCAGTGCACACAGCACCCACCCCAGCCTGTCTAGGACATCTGGACCCCACATGCTGGCAGGGGTTGCAGACAGGGCCCATGTAGAGATGTGCTGTGGGTCCTGCACCCTGTGCAAAGAGACAGCCTAGGTCAAATCAAGACCCGGGGCCAGATGATGCAACTTTATAGGCTGAATCCAGCCTGTACTGCAGCCTTGACACCCCTACTTTAGAGCTATTAAGCACAGCTGTCATAGATACACTAGACATGCATATAGCAGAACCCCCAAGTCCCTTTAAGATGCCGTGCCAGCCAGTGGGCCATCACCCATCGTATAGATCCAGGTAGGAAGAACCTTCACCATATGAAGGAGCTGGTACTTGTCCCTACTGAACCTCATCTGATTGCATTCAGCCCATAGGACCAGCCCGCCAAGGTTGTCCTGGAGCCTTGCCCTGTCTTCAGATGTGCCCGCATGTCCCCACAGCTTGGTGTCATCCGCAAACTCAATCATTATGCTTTCCACTCCCTCATCTAGGTCACTGATAAAAATGTTAACGAGCACAGGCCCAAGCATTGGGGGACACCACTGGCGACAGCCCTCCAGGGTGAGGCCACCCCATCAATTACAACTCACTGGGGTTGGTCACTGAGCCAGTTGCCAACCCACCTCACTGTAGCCTGGTCTAGGCCCGTACCCTCCTACTTGGTTGAGAGAATTTCATGAGAAACAGTATCAAAGGCCTTGCAAAGATATATGTGGCCAGAATATACAGTCACCATGATACAGAAAAGGTGCTGAGTAACATTTCTAACTAGCCAAAATGACCATGAACCAGGCAGACCCAAAGTTCAAACACTGAAGAAAATGACTGGGTAAAGTCCAGGTGTGCGCGCACACACACACACACACACACACACACACACACACACTACAGCAATGGGAAAAACAACCAAACAGCAATGTTAGATTAAAGCTTATAAACAATCTAGGGAGCTGAGTCAACACAGAGTTGAGCCTAAGCTAATCTTTAAAGGTACAAGAGATGATCTTGGAAGCAGGGGGGAGGGTCAATGCAGGAGAACAAGATAGAAAATAGCCAGAAAATGCTCCCCAATCTCACTGCTGCCAAAATGCTCCTGACCCGCCTCTCCAGTGCCAGGTAATAGAACTCTTCACCACCTCAAGCATGTGTCATGTGACTGACGTGTACACAAGAGCAGCAGAAGTGACAGTGCAGCACTAGAGGATACACCTATTCTGAAATGTGGAACCATTTTCTCCCTGTTCAAGTCAAAATAAGTTTTCTGACTGAAACCATGTGCCCCTAAGCTCCTCCACTTCACATACTGCAGGAATCTAACAAGCATCTATCTACTTGGAGAGTAAGGCTGGTGTTTTGCAGCTGGAAGTAAATGGGTCAAATGGATAATAGTATATCATGCATCTTACTTTGCCCAGCTACTGAAGACAGCTGTTAGCTTTTTCTGCAAATGACTTAAGTGGTTAAGCCAATATCTGTGAGGTTATCTTCTTCATAACAGAACTTTCCCTGGGTAAATTCTCCCTCTGAGCCCCAGTTCCTCACCACCTAACTTTCCAAAGGTTTCTTCTTGTGCCCCATAAAGAACAAGGTCTGTGACCCACATTTTGAGAACAACAGACTTAAAGCAAGACTCACAGACTCTTTATTAACCCTGACAATAAGCTACTTGCTTGCTCACTTTCCAGAGTGTAAGAGCAATTTAACGGAACATGCCAATGCACCACCTACTATCTTAAACATTGTGGTACATCTCTCCTAAGTGTACCATGAAAAATAAGTGTTGATAATAGTGTAGTTGGATGTTTTCCATGTAGGCAATACCTTGAAAATGTTAACCTCTGCAAGCCATATTTTATGTATCATCTATGATGCTTCTAACACTGATACATGGAAATCTTGTTGGATTGAAAACAAGACAATTTACACATGTAATGTATACATTTTTGCAGTCTAATACTGCAGCTTATACAATACACAAGGCTAGCTAGCCCAGTGCCACTATAGGGACCAAGACTGATGGTATATGAACACATGCTTCAAATGGAAAGGAACTAAGCACTGAATGGATATGGCAACTGACCTACACTTTCATCCCGTAGGTAGAGTTGTCCTTGCCCATCCTCCCACAAATGTCAGAAATTAGCAGTTAACAGTGCAGCAAACCTTGTACCACTACTGCAATTTCTGTTCTGGGGCTAAATGACTTCAGTTCCAAGGATTTTCAGTT